TCAAAAGAGAGAAGTTACAACTGTTCAGAGAAGTCAATGATCGATCATGTGTGTCTATGATCGATCATGGATTATCCTGAGCAGTTGTAATTTCTCACTTTTGAATTGTAGTTTTACCAAAAAAGTAGCAACCGACGGTATGGTACTGAAGTCGAAGAATTCCCCAAGCAGTTGAGTGCCCTAGGTTGCCTTGCCTCATATTTTATTAATATTGTTTGGGTTGGAAGGAATGGAATAGGTTGCGGCAGAGAGAGAAAGAGAAGGAACGAAGAAGAACGGAAAAAAAAAAAAAAAAAAGATTTGACCCATTGAAGGTATGAATTCACTAATTATTTGATGGGTAATTTTTTCAATTATATAGTATTAGGTTTATCATAAATAGTTACAATGAATATATGTATGTGTGTGTGTGTGTGTTTTCATGGTGAAAAATATTGAAGAATATATAAATAAGTTTTATTGAAAGTTGTTAAGTTAAGTGTTTTTAGACCAAATTTAGATTGGTTGGTTTTGAGGTTTTTAATGAATTTATTTATTGTGTTAAAGAAAAAAAAATCAAAGAAAGAACCAAGAAAGGTTCAAAACATATAGATTCTGAATTCGTAGGGTTGAAGAAGATGAAAATTTTAAAATTATGGAAAGCTTCACTTTAGTTTCAAAGAGCTTTATTTTGATCCTTATATTTTTCAAAATTTAATTTTAACCACTTTTTTATTTGATAAGTTGGAAGAATAGAATTTTAAAAAATTTATGGTAGTCTGAAAGTAGAAAATTCCTTTTTCAAAAAAATTATACTTTGACCCTAAAAGTTTCAAAAATTATGATTTAACTCCAAAACTTTAAAAACTTTTTTCTGAATAGTCCAGACTACTTCCATACCCTATTACCTCATATTATGAAGGATATTTATATGTAAAGGTTATATATATTAAGTATATATCAATGGATAGGAAGTACATATATCAAATATAAAATTGTGTAATGACAAAATTAGAAATAGAGATTGATCGTTATATGTTATTTGGATTAGATGGTGATTGCATTAAGGTTGAAAAAGAGAGCTTTGAATTGAATTTTAGGAATTAAGGTGAGTAATTTACTACTTATTTTAGGAGGATTTTCTATATTAAACGTATGAGTGCGTGTGTATGAATATTTTCATATACATGAAATATGTGTTGATGTTGGAGTTATAATTAAATTTTTTGTAATTGTGAATTATTGTACATATAAATTTTGAAAACTTATGATATGATTTTATATTATTGCTTAAATATGCTTTGGTGATGAAAGAAAATTTTGTGTTCGTTAGGACTAAAACGATAATTTTAGGTGTGTTGAAATCATGTTTTATCAGATGGGGACTAAGTTACTAGATCGATATATGGATATACACATAGGGGCTAATCATCAGACTAGTGATGACAAGAGACAAGACTAGTTATCAGGCTAGTGGTAACAAATTACGGGGTCAATTACCAAGCTAGTGGTAACAAACATGATTTGATAAATGTATTTGAAACTGAATGTGTGTATGAGTGTTTTGAGTTATAAATGTCTTTGCAATTATTAAATTATTTGTGAAAATGAGTGGTATTTTGGATTGTGAATGTCTTTTCATTTATGAAGTTATTTATGATCATATAATCATTTGTATTTAAATGATTATGTGAGAGGAGTTGGGGTATAATTTGTTGTATTTTTGTATGTATCAAAATTTATTTTTATATATAAACTGTGAGATTTATTTTCACACCTTATTAAAGGTAATTGTTATTCACGGGTCATTGTACTCATATAAACATTTACCATTTTTCATGTAAGAATTAAGGTGAAGAGTAAGTTTACAAATATACAAGGGGATAGATGACTTGAAGATTTATTTTACTGTAAGTCTTTAAGAATCAACGTCTTTTGTAGTTTTGAGACAAATATTTAATTATTTTGAAAATAATGTTGCTTATATTTAGAATAATAAACTTTATTGTTTAATTATTATTTACATGAGTTTAGTAATGATGTTAGTGATACTTAGTTTATTCTATTGATATTCATTAGATCGATGAAATATATCATTTTATTATTTATCTTTTGTTGTATTTTATATTTATCATGCACATAATTAATTGATTGATTAAGACTTTAATGATCGATCTGTCGCTTATTTTTGTGATTCGAGGCGAGAATGTGATAATGACCATGTCATAATAGATGTGAACACTTCTCATAGATCGCCTTCGAGATCATAATTGCTCTAGCCCTAAAATTCTATTGCGGCAAGGGGGAAAAAATTGTAGATTTGTAAAACCCACAGGTCCTTATGATTTCTGCCCCCATGTCTCTGACAACTTTCTTGCGCCTTTCCACATATGTCACTTTCTATTCTAATTTCTTTCAATTGGAAATACCCATTGTGCCACGATATGATGGCCTACATGAATTAAAGATAGATTGTCAACTGCAAAATTAGGTCCACCCCAGCTCACAATCAAATCAAATTATTCGATTAGATTTATTTTTTAAACGATTTTTAAATGAATTGAATTTAAATAATTTTTTAAATCCAACTCTAACTTGTAAAAATTGATTTGTTGATATATATAGCGTAGTTAATCTATTCACGCTCGACTCAATTAAAAAATGGGTTAAACTTGAACAACAAACTCGACTCAATTATTACTCCTACCCGAGGTACCTCAATGTTTCATTGTTGCATGAAAATGGAAATTTTTTTTTTATTGAGCAGCCATGAAAATGGAATTGAAATATGTGTTTTTCAATCTAAAAACATATTTTGCGAACACGGTTTTAAGTTTTATAACAAAAAAACACATGCTTATAAAAATACACATTCGTAAAAAAATGCATTTTGTAAACACATTTTTTAAAAGTGTAAATTACTTTTATAGGAACAATGTTAATTTTGAAACGTAAGATTAAGTGAAAAGTATTTGTGAAGAAAACAATTGAAAAATGATTGTATTTTGATCATTGATTTCCTAAAATCAGTCACATGCATCATTCCATTTAATCATGTTAAGTACTTTGGAATTGTGATCATAAGAACTTGTTTCCAAAGTCTAATGGATGCTAACAAGCACTAGGACTAGAGAATAAAGAATTGTCTATGTCGCAATTGCCCATGAATGCAACTATAAATGTCCCAGTTTTAATGGAAGATGACTATGATTACATGATAATAATGTATAACCATCGGATCATTATCATGATCATGAAATTGCTCATTTATACAAACATTTTCTTAGTAGAATAATCATAATAGGGCATGTGTAATTAATATGAGTATTGTTTTTTTTTCTTTTGGTGCAAGAAATCTCTCAGAAACAAAATTACATTAGATCTATCTTTGCAGATTAAACTAGATGTATTCCATTCACTCGATAATCAAAGGTATCGATTAACTTGGAGGTCAACAAAAAAAATTAAATTTAAAATATATGAATTTAAGATTCATTTCAAAATTTAATGTTCTTTATCTCACTCGCAAGGCACTTGATCCAAGTAAATTTATCTTTATGGGGAAAATTTTGCATTTTTAAAATCTTTGAGGAATGAAGTGATATTATAATATATTTGGAGGCAAAAAATAAAATATACGACTATTGGTTTGGCTACATTATTATACATTTATACAATGATTAAAACATTACAATGAATTTTATTCGACCGTAGACTACTAGTGGAAAATTAAATTTTTTAACTGAAAAAATACGATTAGTCCCATGGGAAAATCAAGTTATTGTTTGGTGATATCATAATTATTTATGTCCCGATGGCATAATATAACTATTATATTGAATATTTACTCAAGAAAATATTGAAGAGTCTTATTGTTGCTACAAAATTATATTTTATGTTGTGAAAGATTTAAGAATTTTTATTTTATATTATTAAAAATTAAATTTTTTATATTATACCCTTAATATATCGAAAATGTTATAATGTGACTCTTATATTAGATTTCGTTATTTTTTTTCATTAGTGTCAATAGAATAGTTTTTGACGGAGAAAAATAGCGGATGCTAAGACAAGGGGAATATTTCAACGTTTTTAATACATTAAAAGTATAATGGAAGAAATTTTATATTTAAGAGTATAAAATAGAAATTCTTAAATCTTTCAGGGTAGAAAGTGTAATTCGGCCTATATCCTTTACTGCTGAACTCAGTTCCACGCGCCTAAGTCTTTAGTGCTAATGCAAAGCCAATCAAAAAGCGCCAAAGAAGTAGTTACATGCCTCAAAACGGTTCTAACCAGACCACGCGACAATGTCTGAAAGTGGGACTGACAAGACGAGTCCGTCATCCACTTCTATTTGTCTCCGTCCTTGTTTGTGGGCGACTATAAACCCATAGAGGGAGTCATTCAAGCAATAATTTCCGCATTCGCCCATCTTTTTTCAGTCCCATTTGTCTCTTTTTCATATTTATAATTCTAATTCTCTTTAGCTGCTGTATATGTATATAATTTTCATATACAAGACATTCGAATTCGATACCCAAGAGAAGGTTTTCCGGTGTCCGTTCAGTCATTCCGGCGACCGTTTCGTGACCCATTTTAGGTTTTCTTTTGTTTCTGGAGAGAGAAAGTGGGGAGGAGGGAGGGGTGGGGGTGGGGGTTGGGGCGGGGGGCGAGGTAGGTGCTGAAAGAGTCTTCGACCGCGTCTTTGACTGTCATTCCATTCATATTTCGTTTTTTCCTTTTCATGTTGTTGAAATTTTCGTTTCGAATTTCTAACCTTTCTTTGTCCTCTAATGATTTCTCATGATTTCCTTCAGAAAAGATTCATGGAAAAATCTTCATTGCTCGAGAAAATGGAGGTTGTTTTATTAATTACTGTGTTATCAGTTCCGTAGTTTTTCTATGAATGTATCTTTCTGTGCCCTGTTTTGCAGAGCACCTCTCTCTCTCTCTCTCCAGGTCCTGGGAATTCTTATTATTATAATTTCTACCCTTGATCTGTGCAATGCAGGCAAGTTGTTAATTTTGTGAATTTTAATTCCTCGATTTTGCATATCTACCTTGGAATCTCTACCCAATTCCTCACCCATCCAGCTCATTCATTTGGGAATGTTCTTCTAATCCATTCCCAAATTCCCATATCCTCCACAGGCACAGGCCCATACAACTGTTCCATTTCTTCCACGGACCCTTCTTTTGTACAAGTATTTTTTTTCCATTCTTTCTAAATTCAATCTTCAAGGTTTTTGTTATGGGTTGCGCAACTTCGAAGAATCAACAACCGGTGTGCCGGAACTGCCAGACACCATGTTCACCGGTGCATCGGCGCTATTCAATGCACGTTCACCACCCTCCTCAGCGAGAAGGCGATAGCCACCACATGGTTGCTCTCACCTCCTCCACATTAGGGTCTCTCAAGCTCGACACATCAATTCAAGTCCGCCATATCAATGTGGAAAAAGCTCCAACTGAGAATGGCCATGATGATTATAAAAAGAATGGTGGTGGTGATGAGTCTTGTAACAATGAGTACGATAAGAGAAGCAAAGAGGAGTTTGCAATGGGGGTGACTGAGGCAAAGACATGGTCAAGAATGATCAATGAAAAGATTCCAAAGGTGGTCCCAAAAACGCCAATTCGAACGCCTCCTGGTGAGCCAGAGACAATAAATTTGTGGGAATTGATGGAGGGTCTTGAAGATACCAGTCCTCTGCGGCCACCCAATCATCTTCGTAGTTTTTCTTTTCATGTGGCACCTAAATCTAATCCATTCCAGTCTGATTTTGATCAACCTACGCCAAGAGTGCTAGAAAATGGGGAAGCTTCCCCTAAACCGTTGTGGGTAGAGATGGCTGATAATGATTCGAATTCCAATTCGAATACCACATCAATAGCGTCTGAGTTTGATCCAGAAGTGATATCAGCATTCAGAAAATCACTCGAGGAACTTCCGCCAGCCTACCCTTTCCACCTCAAGCCATTAGTCAATGAATCACAGCAGTTTATGGATGGCAAAGATCAGGTTCAGCCATTGGATGCAACGGATGGAAAGAAAGAGAACGATGTTGTAACCACGCGTGATAAGGACAAGGTGGTTGTCTTCTTCACCAGCCTAAGAGGAGTGAGGAAGACATATGAGGATTGTTGCCATGTTAGATTGATTTTGAAGGGATTGGGTGTTAAGATTGATGAGAGAGATGTATCGATGCATTCGGGGTTTAAGGATGAGTTGAAAGAGCTATTGGTAGATGGAGTCAGTGGTAGTGGCTTGCCCAGTGTGTTTTTGGGGAGGAAATATATTGGCGGAGCCGAGGAAATACGACAAATGCACGAAGAGGGGCAGCTTGAGAAGGTAGTAGTAGAATGTTGCGAAATGGTGGATGAAGGTGGTGGTGGTGGGGGAGTTTGTGATGCATGTGGGGATATAAGATTTGTGCCCTGTGAGACATGTTCAGGGAGTTGTAAGATCTATTATGAAGGTGATGATTATGATGAAGAATGTGAGGAAGACGAGTATGGGTTTCAAAGATGCCCTGATTGCAATGAGAATGGGCTAATACGATGTCCAGTTTGTTTTGATTGATTTCAGTGGCATAAGCTATGATTTTCCCTTTTTTTTTTTGAAGTCTTTGTTTTTGTTTGTGAGTTTGTTTCTTGTACAGTGAGGAGTTTTGGTATATCGAAAGGAGATTCACGAGCCTTACCAGGACTTGACATGCCACGGATTCTCTTGAAAGAAGGGTGTGTTTGGAAACGCAGACACAGGGGGTGCATGGCAACTACAGTGTTCTAGTCTTCTAGGTAGGTTTTTGACCCCTAGTTATGTGTCACAAGGACTGTATTTTCCTAGTATACTGAGAGGCTTGTATACATTTTTGTACCTTTCTAAATAAATGGAATACATACTAGAGGTGTGCAATAGTGGCATTCCCATAAATGTGTCCTTTTTCACTTGGAGTGAGGTATAGTGTATCCCGATATGCAACAGTAATACAATAAATGAAATAGTAAAGAAAGATATGATAATTCATGGGTTAACCCGAAAATATAACTCTTATTAGAGAATAATGTCGAACCAAGATTCATGTAGACCCTTACCTAAGAGAGACATCGCCAACGAAGAGGTCTCAATGAGGCTCCTGATTTATTATGGTGGTGCTTTTATTTTCTATCACATTGAAGTTTTTAATCATATTTAGACTACGGTTTTTAATGAGTTTGAATAGCATATTATTCTATACAATGTCTGGGGTCCAAATGTGTATTAGATTTGGTGAGAAAGGCAGTTCCAACAAACAAGTATTAGTAGGTTAGAAGTAGTCCGCATGTCTTTATACTTTATTTTTCGGTTTGTCGCTTCACCAGAATTGAACTACAATTTTCTAGATCTTTCACGAAAAATAGGAAAAGAAAAAAGTTTTCATGTATAGAAATATATAGTAAAGTTGACAGAAACAGAGTAGTTTAAGTCAATTATACATGGCCTCAAGCCGACTTATTTTTCTATGGAATTTAAATGTTCTCTAGAACCCGAACCACTTCTTTCTGTTAATAATATCTATATTTAATATTGCTGGGAAAATAAAGAGATAGGGCAAAGTACTCTTAAAGCAAATTAGGTGAAGGTTCCGGTCAGAGAAGGTTAATACAGAATGACATTGTTAGGTGTGGTTGCCCTCGATGGTTTCTAGCTTCAACCAAACACCAATATACATTTGATAACTACATGGAATTGGCAGGTAAGAAATTGCATTGATTACTTCCATGTGTCATGTTGTGTCTTAGAGATTCTTCAATGTGTCTCCAACCCATATATAAGCTAGTTGGTTTCGATCGAGGGTGCCCCTCATCCAGTAGTTATGGATTTCAGTGGTCATGAGTTTGAATTTGTTTGTAATAGTAGTCCCTGTGAACCAAATATTATTGAAGGGAGTGAATGTCTAGCTTACCTTCAGTGATGCTGTGGTGATGAACTCGACTATCATAGGTCAGTAGCTATATCTCAAACCAAATATTCTACAATGGGTGAGAACCTCAAGGTCGTAACATATTTGAGGTACTATGTCTGGTCGCCCATGACTATCTTTTTAATAGCAAAAAAAAAACCCATTTATAGTCATTAGAGGGCTCTCCACACGATTATCCCTGTACAAAAGAGTTACGTGGGGAGAGAGAGAAAAAGAGATACAGGAGTGATAAGAAACCAAAAGAGAGTTACAAAGTAGAATGGGGTGAAAATAATAAAAACAATTATGAGGGGTTATTTGAGAAGAAACGAAAGGTAATAGCGAAATTTCATGAGTAGATGCAGTTAATTAGGATTATAGTCATTGGAGCCTCATGCACACAGTTGTCCATGTAAAAAAAAAGTTTTACATAGGGTGAGAGAGAATAAGAGAAATAGGATTGAGAAGAGACCAAAAGATATGAGTGATTATTTGAGAAGATATGGAGGATAAAAGTGAAATTTCATGAGTAGAAACATTTAAGGAGGATTAAAGAAGAGTTTATGAGTGGTTATGAAAATGGAGGGTAGTATAAACATATTATACGTGGACACTAAAATTGCACTTTCTCCCTTCATAAGTGGCATATTCGTATCATATATACTCGATTTTGTATTAATCTGACAGGATCAATCCATCCCGTTAATGTTGAACTCATATTTGATAACTCCATGTCAATTTTTGTGTGTTAGGTTGTCAAATTAGGTTAAAAATCGATGGTCTTTCATATTTTTTGTAATTTAATTTTAAGAATTCATAGTTTAAAATAAGTACTAGCCCTAAAGCTAACGTAACACTAGAACAATTTGTAGCTATAAAACAAAAACCATTCAATTTGTCAAAAGGTATGAAGAAAAACCATGAACTTGTAGGTCCAACAGAGACAATGGTAGTAATATGAATAGACTGATAATCTCAGAATCCAACTCCATGGCTTTAGAACAAAACAATTACTTCGGCCATTAGTCTTAGGACAGTTGGGGGGGTCCTAAGATGAGCAGTTTTTATGTTTGTCATTTTAATACTAACAACTCAATCTACACTAGGTGAGATTTGCATCCAATCATCCACAAAGGAACACACATAAAATTCAAGTTGTGAGAGTGAAAGATGTGGACACCTCTGCTTGGTAAGGGTCCCCCCCAGCTCAAATCAGGTAATTGCATTCTTATCAATATGGGTCTTAAACCCAGAAAATCACAATAGGCTACATGACACTAGCCTTCTGATCCGTCATATTTAAGAGGGTTGGTCACATATTATGTGGCAAAGGGGATTTAGATCTCCTCAAACTTTTTTTTTTCTCGATTTCTCTTCTTGGTCCACTAATAATTTAGTGAAGGACTCATTTATATATACAATGGACATATTTGGAGTTGATTTAAAATCTCGTCTCTTTTTGGTTTTAGAGGAAAAAAAGTCTAGTCCGTTTAAACCCGAACTTATTGGGCAGTTTTATAATTAACTTTTTGAGAAAAAATAACTATTATCATCACAAAGAAAAAGATGAAAAATAAGACTTATCCAAACGGTTTTAGAAGTTTTTTTATTTTTGACTTTTTTATTTTACTTTTCAAACCTTTGTTTTGTATCCAAAAAAAAATCAATATCAAACAGGCTCAATGTATTTTACTTAATTTTACCGTAGGTGTTTCGCAAACTTAAAAAATTTAAAAAAATATATATTGGAGAATATCTCGATCCTCAGAAGTAATAATAAGGAGCAAGAGAAAGAGAAGTACTGAACAACCGTTTCCTATCAGAGTTTTATGACATTATTGCTTCACTTAGCAGGTACATTTTGTCTTAATGACAGCAGCTTTTGGTTTAAACGCACAATTAAAGGTAACAACTATGCTGTACTAAAAGGGTTTCAACAGTGTGCTACACAGAAGTTCACTACTCTAATTAAAGGTAACTAACAACTGTAGGCTTTAGGCCCAAATTTTTAAAAAATTTCATAATTTTAGATGCAGTCTACAAAAAAATTAAATCTATTAAATTTTAAGCCCTATAAAAAAATCCTCAAAAATTAAATTCAATCAAAATTTTTATTGTAATAATTTGAGTCTATAATCTAATCTATAACACTAAAAACATAGAAATTTAAAAAATAAAAAAATACTTAAAAGTAAACTCATATTTACTCCCACCTTCTCTCTCTGGTAATAAAAATAAAATTGAAATTAAACATCCACATTAAAAAATTAAAAAAAATTATATATTAAAAATAAAAAGACCTTCATTTAATATTTTGCCTTTATCCCTTAAATTGGTTTGAGCCGCTCCGAAAAGAAATGGTAAACATAACATTTTCCTTTAGCCACACTAAATTTTAGAACGGCAGATGTGCTTTTCTGACTTCAGAATCAGTTGGTGTAAAATTGAAATAGTGAAAGTTAAAATTGACATCCTGGGCCTAAAAAAACAAGAGGTTAAAATTGACACGAAGCTCTAGAGATTAAATCAAACGAATAATATATAACTACCAGAAATTGTTGGAAAAGTTAGTTCAAAGGTAACGGAAAGCCAGCATTAAGTGGGCGGCTATGTTTTACGTTGAAGGTAGTAAGCACATATATCTATGCAAGACGGAGAAGAAGTCAACAACATCATCTATCGACCTTCTACATAAATAAAGTGCTTTTCAACGACGATTATGATCGATTATAATAGATTAAGATTGATAACGAGAGAAAAGTTATAACTGTTCAGAAAAAAGTCCATAATCGATCATATGAATTTGTGATCGATCATGGTTCTCTTCATCGATCATAAACTTTTTCTAAACAGTTATATCTTATTCTTTTTGAATTATAATTTTACCATAAAAATAATATGTGACGGTACTGTAGACTTCCCTTTCAAAAACAACCAGAATTCTAACTCTTGAAAAGAATGTAGATACTGTTCAAAAACATAGAACGTAGACCAATCTCCACTTCTGACTGGTCCCCTGTTTTGCAGTTTTAAAGGAGTAATTAAAATAATAAATAAACCGTCACAAGAAGCAAAAGAATTAATTTTCAGGTAAAGTTCTATGAAATGAATTGAAAACTAAGAAGAATAGAATCATTAAGGGTTAATTGCATTAGAGATTCTTAAAAAATGATATTTGTCTCATTTTGGTCCCTAATATTTCAATTACATCATTTTAATCCCTGAAATATTAAATATGTTTTTATATGGTCCATCAGACAGACAACATCTAAATTACTAACAGTTTTTTATTATAAACTTATCACAAATACCTAAATAAAGACAAAAACATAATTTGAATAACTCTTAATCAAATTTTTATCTAAATTTTGGTTAAAAGTTATCTAAATTGTACAATTTTGATCATGAACTATCCAAATTTTGGTCAAGAACTACTCAAACTTTTTGTTGTCAATATTTAGGTCAGTCAAACAAGCATCATAAACTTTCATTAAGTTGGAAAATTCAAGTTACAATCAGTCAACATGAAAACCTTAAGCTCGGGTGGGGAGGAGCTTAACCAATTTGGCGAGAGCAAATTGTTTAGTATAGCGGTTGCTACCCAATGAACAACTTTGTTACAGGCCTTAGGCTTGTATACAAAACTAAGGTTATATAACCTAGCAAAGTATCTAATGTCACTAATAATTATACTTATTTCCCAAGGGGGAACCTCTTCATTTGAGCACAGCTTAATGATGTTCAGACAGTCACTGAGAATTGTAGCATTAATAAGCAGTTGGGCTTCTACCAGTATACACACTTGTCTCACTGCTTCTGCCTTCGCAAGTAGACTCAATCTAGCAGGAAATTGCTTAACATCGCCACCAACAAACTCTCCCCTTTCCTTGCACGCCACTACACCACAAGCAGCATTGACAAAATTTGGTTTGAAGGCTCCGTCACAACATACAATAACCTCCGCCTCTGCTTCCTGTCTAG